GCTTATATTTTGATGTCTGTGTAACTTCACCTAATCAAGAACACAGTATCTTCCTATTTTAAGTGGCCACTCAACATTATTTCTGTGCTTCAGAACAGCCAGCTCCTTGTTCTCCTTCTTGCGTCGCATTCCGTCCCCCTGCCATTGTTCACTCTGGCTATAGTATATTGACAGGGAACCCCTCCCTGATATATAGTGGACTTAACATATTCAAGAAAATCACTTGAAAACTTGTAGCTGACTGATTCCATTTTATGACATCTTTTGAGATTTTTAGCTTTATTTTTGTTCTGCAGTGGAATAACACACGCTTTCACATGTTTTCTCAAACAGAATTGTTTCTAGCTGTCCATGTTTTATCAAAACATGAGCTTTTTGACTGAGAAAGGTAGAGAGGATGTGTGTACATGTAGTATAGGTTTAGCCATAGCCTACTGGCTTGGGGGCTTGGCTCTGGTAGGCTGAAGAACAAGTTCCTGCTATGCTGGACTCATAGCAGAATTTTTCATCAAAGATCAGTTTATAATCAGGCAGGTTAGAGAGTTGTACCTTGGTATTCCACATTCCAGGCCAGTGCCCAAGCTATAGAGCAAGACAAAGAGCATCAGTCTCTCTCTTCCCAACCCAACCTCTGCCTCCCATCATTTATTCCTTCAATGCAAAGAGAAGTTTTTAAGGTACTGTATTAAATTTCACTGATCTTTAAAAATGAAATTATATGGGAAGAAATGTGTAACTCTCTGTTTTAATTTAAATACAGAGCATTTGTTTTTAGCGTGAGGCATCTTTGAAGCTTGGTACTTTACAGACTATCGTCTTATCATACAGTGGGCTCATGATCATAAGAAATCACAAATCTGAGGGTCCAGACAGGAATCTTTGTTATATTCTTAATGCATTTACTGTAATACAGACTGTATGAATTAGATCTGGAAGGGAAGTTATGCTGGTTAATCCAACTGTTTATTGCTGAAAAACCTAATTTCTGTGCAGAAATTATCTGAAGCCTGCATCTCAAGCAAGGGGAAAACATTCTTTGGGAAGAGTTGCAGACCAACCTGGATAAGCAAGCATTTCAAACTGGTGATTAAGAGAAAACAGCCTTCAGGGAATGGAATATGGGACAGATGAGCAAGGAGGAAAGTCACCCCTTGGAGGTCAGAAAGCATAGTGATAAAGCAGAAATTGTTAAAAGCTAAGAAGTTTTGGATCTTGCTATGGAAATTAAAGCCAATAGCAGATGATTCCATAGTCATAAAAAGAAAACAAGGACAGAAGAAATAGAGGGACTACCTTAGAGTTAGTGCCAAAGTGGCTAATGGGAATCATAGAATCATAGAATAATAGGACTGGAAGGGACCTCAAGAGGTCATCGAGTCCAGCCCCCCGCCCTCAAGGCAGGACCACGCTCCGTCTACACCATCCCTGACAGATGTCTATCTAACCTGATCTTAAATATCTCCAGAGAGGGAGATTCCACCACCTCCCTTGGCAATTTATTCCAATATTTGACCACCCTGACAGTTAGGAATTTTTTCCTAATGTCCAATCTAAACCTCCCCTGCTGCACTTTAAGCCCATTACTCCTTGTCCTGTCCTCAGAAACCAAGAGGAACAAATTTTCTCCTTCCTCCTTGTGACACCCTTTTAGATATTTGAAAACCGCTATCAGTTGAGTACATGGAAGTAGAAAATAACACATCCAAGGTGGAAATCAAAATCAAATAGGTTAAAGGGACTAAGTCAGAGGATATGGATAGTCTCTGTCCAAGAATATTAAAAAGACTTGCACCTGCAATCACAAGCCCAATAGAGAGGATTTTTAATGAATCTGTAATGAAACTTGGAGTGTACCCTCTGATTGGAGAATTGATAATATAGTTCCTATTTTTTAGAAAGGAGGGAAAAAGTGATTTGAGAAACCACAAGCTTGTTAATTTGATCTTAGTTATAGGCAAGGTCTTGGAATACATTTTGAAAGAAAAAGTAGTTAAAGGGTTAAATGATGGTTTTACAAAAAGTAGGTGATTGTGCCAGACCAGCATGATCTCCTTCTTGGAGAAGATAACTGATTTCTGTTTTTAGACAGGAAATCTAATCTACTTGGATTTCAATAAGGCATTTGATACAATTCTATGTGGGAAATTAGTTAAATTGGAGAAGATGTGTATTAATTCGAAAATTGAAAAGTGGAAAAGGAACTGGTTAAAGGAGACGACAATGGGTCATGCTGAAAGTTGAACTGTTATGCCAGAGGAAGGTTAATGAAATTCCTCATAGATAGGGCTTGGGACCAATCTTATTTATCGTTTTTGTTGGGAGGTACTATGAATACAGAGGAGAGTACACAAAAAGAACTGAATGATCTTGAAAACTGGAGTAATAGAAATGAGATGAAACTATGTTGTGCAAAGTGGAATATCATGCATATGGGGATTTAACAGAGAATTTTTGTTGTGAGCTGAAGTCTTATCAGTTGGAAATCAAGGAGGAGACAAAGACCTGGGGATATTTGTGGCTCGCAAGATAACTATGGCACACCTGAAACAACCCAATATAAGATCTCAATGGTAGGACAGGTGGATGAAACAGGATCGCCTTTCAATGGCTGTGAAGACGGATGAAGGCAGCAACTAAAGAAAAACCTGTCATCTTTGACCTTCTTGCCACTGAACAGAGATGCCTTTTCTGAAAAGATCTGTGTGGCTGCTGATGCACATCAGCTCCCCATGTTAAACGACTCACACAAACAGGCTTCTTTCACAGGAAGAACTTTTCCCCTTCCCTCTAGCCTATGGCAATGGGGAAGAGTCAAGTAATCATCAGGAGTCCTAGTCACAGACTCAGCAACGATGAATCACCAATGTGATGTAGCCATAAAAGAAGCTAATGCAATTATAGGATGTGTCAGGTGAGATATTTCCTGAAAAGACTGGCAGTGGTGAGAATTCATCCCAAGTGCAGTTCTGGTTTCCCATGTTTGAATTCATCTTAAACTCAAACAGGTCCAGAGAATGGGTCAGAAGAATGGGTAAATCTACCTTGTGAGTGGAGATTCAAAGAGCTTGGCTTGTTTAGCCTAACCAAAAGAAGGCTATAGGGAGATAAAATTGCTCTCTCTATATATGTTAGAAGGATAAATACCAGGGAGGAAGAGAAGTTTATTCATGTTAAGCACCAGTGTGGACACAAAAACAAATGGATATAAATTAACCATCATTAAGTTTGATAGAAATTAGATGGTTTCTAACCATCAAAGGAGTGCAGTTCTGGAAAAGCCTCCCAAGGGAGCAATGCAGGAACATAGCTAATTGGCATAAAGACTGAACTTGATGAATTTATGTAGGGGATGGTATCATGAGATTGTCTGCAGTGGCATGCAGCTGATCATCTGCTGCTAGTAGCAGATATCACTAGTGGCCAGTGATGAGATATTAGATGGGGAAGGCTCTGAGCTACTTCGGAGAATTCTTTCTCAGGTGTTTGGCTCTGGGACCTACATGCTGTGTTTAACTGTTTGCCACATTTGGAGTTGAGAATGACAGAGATCCTAGTTTTATTTCAATTTCTTCTACAGTGTAGGACACTGGTCACTTGCATGTTTAAAGACTGTAAGTGGCAGATGTCCTCAAATCGTGATTTAAAGGTTTCAGGTTTTCTGTAATAGACTGGCTGAGTTACTAGGGTGTGTGGTTGAGGTTCTGTGGCTTGCAATGTGCAGGAAGTCAGACTAGATGCCTATGATTCTAGATCCTATGATGCCTTCTGGTCTATGAGTCTACATAACTCTTGGAGGTGTAAAAAAAAAAAAGTGAGTTTACCAATAAATGATCCATTTCAAAGCATGAGTTTTAATATCCTCATTGGTAGTTTTGGTTTTTTTTTTTTACTTAAAAACGAAAGCCTTCAATTTAGCAAACTCTGTGGTGTGATAGGTGCTGAAATGAGAGAAATTGAAGTGCGGCATGCACAGGCAAGTGCTGCATGGGCAGCAGTAGCTCACACTGCTTGACCAATGTGTCTCATATCTGACTTTTTGAAGGACCCCCGTTAGTGGAAAAAGTTCAGCTTCCATGTCCTTTCCACTTTTGACCTCATATCACTAAACTCACAGATTGGTTCCAGTTGCATAGAAACTTTTGTATTGTGAATGAATAAACTTGTCCTCCAAGACATGGTGTGAAACCACCAAACTCACTTTACATTGCCCACCAAACAGCCAGTGGATGGTAACAACCTTCTGTGGGTACTGACTTTTGAACTGAATTTGTTCTATTAATATTTGATATTTCCAGTGTAAAACACAGGAGTACTTTTAATCATTTAAATGTCTTTTCAACTAAAAATGCTACATTACGCAAAGGAAACAGTGTAATAAACCTGATGTAACAGCATAATAAAAACTGGTCAGGAAAATATACATTGCTGTAGTCTCTAAAACTAATAGAAATCTAATTATCTACAATTTGTTTTATTAAGGGAGCCCATGGAGAAAGGGATAAGTCTTTAATAGCACAATCATTTATCAACTAGTAGTTTATCTGGGAATAATTGTACTATAGGTTAATTCTTAGTAGCTCTACAAATGTTGACTCTGAAAAGAAAATACTCTCGTTCCAGGGCTTGAAAAATCCATTCACATCAAACTTTGGAACACTGTTAAGCCTCAGAAGAAACTAACTCTTTAATTTTAAAAATTATATTCCTAGCTCTTAGGGTTGTGAAGATGATGTTTGGAATAATGCAAATCAGTGCAATCCTGCTGTGTTTTTGGCTCTTCAGACCAACAGCTTCTGTGCTTTATTATTATTATTATTATTATTATTTATTATTGCTTATGAGTTAGCAACAGAATGAAATTAACATGCACTGATTATTTCCATTTCTGTAGCCGCTAGTCAGAACCCTGTAGACAGCATTGAAACAGACAAAGATCAGCTTGATTTCCTTCTGATAAGGCATAGGAAAGCTACAAACAACAC